ACTGTTGTTAGAGAGGCTGTACACCTGCCACGAGCGATGCTTTCCCTGCTGGAGCCAGACGGTGACCCAGACAACACAGGTCAACACAAACTTGATTTCTCATGAAACATATCCCTACCACAAACTTTTCACTAAAAAGCAGCGGGGGAAAACCAACCTCCCTATAACGTTAATAAAAGGAGTGGGAGGAAGCCTGGTGGAAGATGACACAGGACAGAGGTTGGCACTGAGGCTATCAGGCAGTGAAGAACTGCTGGTGACTTTTGGACCAACTGCTCACAGTTCAAACTACACTGAACTTGGCCCAGACCCAAAAGGCAGAGACAGAATAGAAAGGTAACTGCTGGCTTTTACTATGGGAAAGCTCCGATTTTTAGGCAGCTTTGCCATCTTTCTGTAGAAACAGCCGTTTACCCTGTTTATTCATCTTCATTAGTGTTTTGTTTGTTTAGTTTGGAGCCACAAAGAATTGGAACGCAAGTCTGAGCTACACAACTTCCTGGCATGTGCAGTGCTGGACAGTAATGGATTTAGCTTAAAAATCAGAGACCGATTTTAGGTTAACATTATGGTTACATCGATCCATATACTCTAATAATCTCTAGTCACATAAAACAAGCTGGGCCAAAGACCTCAAATGGCAGCAGGAGCAAACATAGGCAATTCCCCCAATATTATCAGCATTTAAAAGACAGGTACAATGAAAATCAAGGGCCTGAATTCAAAAATACGGGTCTGCAGCAGATTATAAACTGTAAGAGGCAGGGAGCTTTGATACCCACTTCTGGGAACTATCGTGTCAAGTTTAACATGCTACATAACACATGGACTTCTACCCTTGTGAGGGCTAAGGGCTCCCAGCTGAGCTGGAGAACTTTTCCTTTTATCAGCTGCAAAACTATGCTTATTCGTAAAAAACAAATTTCTGCTACGCTTAAGAACAGTGGGGGGTTCACCCTGGATTCCAGTGCAGTATTTAGCTGGCAATAACTTTCTGCTTTTAGTCCCTGGCACCTCTGTTCTACCTGATTTAGTAAATCAGCTTCTTTGTCTCCAGGCTCATCACCAACCGTCCCATCCAACCGTACACCAGTTAATTCATTCCCACAACTCTCTTCCTCAGACATTTCCTTCTCACTCTGCCACTCCTCTTCGTCACTCTCTTCATATTGCTTCCTGCTGGCTGACAGAGTCGTTGTCACTTTTGGAGGAGGCAGAGTCGCTAGTACGGCTGGGAGAGTAAAGGCTGCGAGGAATCTGGCTTTCAGTAGGAGGTAAGCAGGGTTATCGCCGAGTTTCTGCTGCACCAGCTCTCCGATAGCGTGAAAGTCAACCCCAGCGCCTTCACCCCGACTGGCATCAGGAGGCAGGAGACACGCCGCTTGCTCTTCTAGAGCCGCCTTCTGCAGAAGTAGCTTCGAGAGGGTTTTCAAGTTGCACAGAAAAGGTGGCAAATAAGGCAACCTGGTTTGCAGCGACGGTACCTGGACACCTCGTTTCCCATTCAGCCACTCCTTCACTAGCCCCTCATCTTCAAGGGAAATCAGGCTAAAGTCGAGTTGATTCTTTTCTGCACTGGAAGTGGTCGGCTGGGGTGGACTGTCAGCAGGCTGCGTGGTCGGGGGTTTGGAGGCAATGGGTCTATTCCTCAACGCTTGTGCAGCAAAGCAAGGAGAGTTCCTTGGGACACTGTTATGGGGAACTGGCTCTCCCGGCTGGAGCACAACCCCTTTCACGGCGATACCTGGATTGGAAGATGATCCGTTGGTTTTAACGGAGTCATGGCTCTTTCCCAAGCTAGCGAGGCTCGGCACGCATTGGGAATCAGACCCTTGAGTGCTTGCAGGTAGCTGGGTTTGGGGTAGCAGCACAGCCTGCAGGGTGGGCACATCCGCTGGAAGAGTGCTCCGAGCTGCAGAGGAGTCAGAAGCCTTGGGGGAGCCATCCGAACACGGAGGTGTTGCAGCAGGAACGCTGGATGTGGTGCATCCCGGACTCGCCGAGGGCACAGGTAAGAGACCTGTGGACTGGTTAGCTGTCTTTCCCAAAGGCACTCCTCCTGCTAACTGGGCACTGCTGGGGTGAGGCGTATTTCCTCCAGCTGATACAGGAGGCACTCCTAAGCTAGAGGCATTGCCGTTGGAAGTCACAGTTGTCTGACATTGGCTTCTCACAGCAGCAGCTGGCAGTCCTTGGGGAACACCCACCACCGTTTGTATGGCGGTGGGGAGCAAAGCCTGTGGCGTTACGACCCACGTGAAAGGCAGGATGCTGTTGGGAAGCAAAGGCGACCCAGTTTGCGGAGTTACAAGAGCAGGCAACAGATTGACTGGCTGCTGTTGTGGGCCATTACTATTCAGCTCACAGGCAACCGGTGTGGGAAGAGACAATTTGTTGGTACCAGACTCAAGGCCAACAGGCACCACTGTAATCTGACGTGGCACAAAAGCTTGGTTTTGCAACACTACTGAAGCTGAGCTACCAGCTAGGACCCGACCATTGCACCCTCCCTGATTTGGAGCCTCCTCCGCTGTAGTGGGATTCACGCCCGGAAAAACCCTTCCTTCGGGGTTACTTTCCAAAGCTTGCTCTTGTAGTTCCTTACTGGATTGTGGTTCTGTCCCTTGTGAGGAACCAGGGCTTTCCCCAGCTTCTGGCACTGATGAGGAATGGTTTTCTAGCACGATAGTGGCAGAAGTTGAACCTGCAACAGAAGCAAATGCCGGCAATGGAGCTGGTGCAGACCGAACTTGGCTATTTGTACAACCAACTGCTGCGGGTTTGCTCCCTGCTTGTGCAGAAGGAATGATTTGCTGTGGTGGGTGCTGGATTATCAGAGGTGCCGAAACCAGCATCTGTGGGGCAACAAATACTGTCCTCTGCAGAGCTTTCTTCGCCCGGGATTCTCGTAGCCGCTTCTCTCTCAGTAATTCCGAGACAGTTTTAGGCTTCTGCCTTTGGGCTTGGGCTGGAAGAGCTCCCTGCGTGGCAGGAGCACCGCTCTCCAAGACAGCGGTGGAAGTCTCCCTTGCTTTTAAGGCAACAGGTCTCCCGACAGCGTTCCTCGGTATGCCCCTTCGGGAGTTCCTCTGAGTGCCAGATGGTGATGAACTGCCTATAGAGGATGGGAAATAAAATTTAAAAAAAATTGAAATATTGAACAGGATTTTTAAGAGCCATTCCTTAGCTACTAAGCATCGAGCAGCCTGCACAGGAAGTAGCAAAATTCGTGTTTGTGAGAGTTCCTACACCCTTTAGTCTTGATTTAATCAAGCCCCGCCCTGACATCCTTCAGACAGCTCCGGCGCAGGAAGCTTTCCACGGGTACAGTAAGGATGGGATTTTTCCCCAGAAATCACAGATGGGCTGGGAAAGCCCCTTAACACCGCACAGGAGGAACCGTACACGGGCACTTGGCACCAGCCAGGATGACAACAACAAACTGGGGTTTTGGCCAGTGTCGGTGTGTTCACTTACAGCCAGCACCTTGCTGGAGAGAAGCGTAACAGTGATGGTCTACAGAACTGGTGGCCCAGTGCCACTGGTCCCCCAGCCCTTCAGTATTTTTTCCAGTCCTTACCAAAAGATAACATATTTAGCCCATAACTGAAAGATCCAAGAGCTAGCAAAAACGAGCATGACAATGTAGTTTTGTTCCAAAAGTTCTCCTTCAGTTAAATTGGTCGTTAATGTAACGGTGATGAATTAAGTGAAAGTTCTTGCACATCATAAAAATAAATGTTCTGGTAGGTACCTGAAGAAGTCTCCATATTTTGGGAAGCCTGCCAAAAAAATTATATTAAATTATACTTCTGAGAGATCTAAAGATCATTAAACCAGCATAGATGGGAATCAAACTCACATCTGCCAACACCCTATACAAGTGCCCACACAGCCAGCATTTTATTGTGCTTCTGAACCAAAACAAACTGGGAACACACACACACACACAAACAGCACCACTGGCGACACAAAAAAAAAAAAAACCCACTACTTTAGTCAAGACTTCAGGGGGAAAAGCTCAGAAACAGACTGTGCACAATACCTGCTGTGGCCTTCTTGCATTAGCCCTAAGCAGCTCTGCCTGCCTCAGCCTTCTCTCCCGAATAATCTTCATGCAGCCATTGGTATCAATCTGAAAGAGCTGTCAGATGAGAATTTCATTAAAATCTGATTGAGAACAAAAATGTTCTGGTAGGGCCAGTGACAATACAAGATGGATGGGAGGGGCTTCACAAGCAAGATTCTGGGGACTTTTTTTTTTTTTTTACACTTACAGAAAAAGTCCTGACAGTATTAGATTTGGGATGCAGCATTTACTTAAGAGACATATGCAAGCCATGAGGTCAGATTAATCCAGTAACTAGATGATTTGTTTAAGAAACAAAAAGATAAACCACTTATTTAAGCATCAAATACAGAAATAAAGATTGTTTGAAAGCAGATAATGCTATCAAGGCAGTAAAACCTACCTGAATGAAAAGCGTGAAGAGGGGAGTGCTCATGAGACTGACCGACTTAACCTTCTCTTGAATATAATCAGCTAGAAAAAAGTCCAACGTCAAAAATCAGCTGGGCATTCACTTACAAGATGTCAGAAAGCAGGGACAAAAGGTAGGAGAGTACGATCCCTGGCGGGTCACCACTACCTTTTGTCTGATGAAAAGCCATCTTCCCAGTTTGCAAGGTGCAAGGCAGCAGCACGTTGCCCACCCAAGGCGTCACTGCCATGAGAAGCTTTCTGTCAAGGTTCAGTCTTCTCAAACGCTCTCTCTCCTGACGGTAAGTTTTTTCCGTGATGTTCTGCAGCCCCTGCAACAGATACATTAACTCCAGATATTCTTGTGCCACAATTAGTCCCAGGAAAAACTACTCATGGGGCAGTTATAAAAAAATAAATTGAGTTTTTCCTCTTGGGACTGCAGTGCAAGAGGATAATGTGATTCTATCAAAAACCATTTCCCACTAAACACAGCCTGGCAGGGCGCACACCACAAGAGCAGACAAGACAGAAGAGCCACTTACAAGTTTCCTCTGAAAGCATGTGTTGCTTCTTAACACTCTTCTCACATCCTCCAGGGTAACCCGTAGCACTTGCTTTCCACACCTGGAAGCCTTAATATGAAAGCATACAAGAAAAGATGAAAAGGAAAGTATCTCACAGAAAATTACTTGCACTGACTATCCACAGAAAGTACTGAAGTTTTCAAAATTTATTAAATTAAATCAGCCCTGAAGCACAGACATTTACCTTACCTTTCAGTCCTTGTGCAGTATCCCAATACCAAATGTCTATTTTATAAAAGCCTTTCTGTGAAGTATCTACAAAAACCCACACTGAGGGCCAGAATTTATTGGATGATTCCCTTTGCATTTTTTCGCTTAACAGCACAAAAGGAAGACCCAGGAAGAGGTTTGGAAAAGCCAGACTCTTCCCTAAACTTCTGCTAGTAAAGTAACACTGTATCTGTAATCAAAATTAAAGACGGATCACACCTGATAAGCACTTAGAACCCTTGCATACCGTAACCCCCAGAACACAGCACTTCTGTAACCAACAAACCTGTCGTCGGTCACATTGGCCCCGCACTCTAGGGCGGACGTGCAATTCTTAACACAAAAGTCAGAACAATTTTGCTCATGTGAACTTAAACAGCAATTTAAACATTCGACATTCTGCTAAGGAGTACCTTTCTGCAAGTACATGCTAGGAGGGTTTGCACTGTTTCAGTACCTGATCTGGGGAGAGAACCCAGCTCAGAATCAGGCACGGATGTATAAGGGACTTAATTCTTCCAAACTCGAAGGCAATACGCCGTGGTCACCAGGGTAGAGAGAAACCACAATTCACTGGGGCAATTCTGCTTTATGAAAGGCTAAAAAAAAAGTTTTGGTTTTGTGACACTATGTGTAGGAAAGTATATAACTACTATTTCCTCGGTCATGCCTGGGGAGGCAGTGCTAGAAATTCCTGTTCAATCCCACGGCTGTTTCCAACAGCGCCCCCCGATGGCGCAGTGAGAAAGCCGCCAACAGAGGCGCGGAAAAGATTTTGTCGTCTACTCATCTCATACTCTCCTTACACTTCCCGGTCGCTTCTGATCTAAGCTCCAGTCCCCCCAAGAACAGACTGAGAATCCCAGGATTCACCTTGTTCATTACTTCTGCCGGATTCTTCACAATGACGTCCGTCGAATGCGGGTGTGCAATGCCCCTCACGAGGGTGTTCAACTCGGACGGTTTATCGGCAGCTCTGGCCTTGTCTCCATCATGGGACGCACTGACAGCTTCACTGCTGCTGGTCTTTGCATCAGCACTCGCAGGAGAGAAAAGGGATGGAGTCTGGTATCTTCCTTTGTCCGACTCCTGTGTACTTGTCTGTGTTGGTATCCACAAATCGATGCTGGGAAACGCACACTCCTCCTTGCTTGTTGTCTCCTCCTCTGAACTGTCTGCTAAGTCCAGTTCTATGTCTTCACTGCTGCTCTCTGAAGAGCTGGAACTCTCTTCCACGTATCGGCGTTTTGTTGGCCTGGATCTTTTCTTCTCAGTCAAAAAAAAGCACAGACAAGTTTTAGCCAATGTTCACACTTGACTTGAAAATCTCTCAAATCACTAAGTAATAAAGTTTCACGAGGCAGTATCCTGTCGGTAATGTGTGGCTTCCAAATGCCTAGTTCTGCTTTACTTCTGCTGAGATTAACTAAATCCAGTACAACTGCCAATTAATTGCCTTTGGAGCCAGATTTTTATTGGTTTAGATTATTGTATGCAAAGAAAAAGCTACAGGTAGAGACAAGCTTGCGTTCAGAACTGGTGCACATGGAAGCACCTTCTCGACACACGGAGGCTTCCATGAACCCTTCCCTAAGGCAGGTGCTTCGCCCTAGGAACGGAAACAAGACTGCACCTTTAATAAGGTCTTCAGCAGCCAGAATTTCTGGTGTGCCTGGTACCAAAACTGGCAATTCATGAGGCACATACATGAAAACCTAGGTATAGCCCACCCTTATAGACACCTCAAGGTAACAGAGAAAATTCTGGATAATATGCAAATATATAGCAAACGACCTCCAGACCTTCAGAACAAAGGCTGCTTTAACACATCAAAAATCAAGACCACGAACATCCCTGACAAAATCTTGACTGTGTGAAATCAATGTCAATGTTTGTATTGATTTCACGGGATTTCGCTTTTAGTTTAGAGAATCTTAATTAAAGAGATACGACTGTGACGTAGCAGGATTTTGTACAATACCTTAGACCCAATCATGAGTTTCCACTTGCTTAGACATTGGGAGCCAGTCCGATGTGGCAGCTCAGAAGCTATTTGACTCCAGTGACCTAAGGAGGGTGCAGAGCAGAGCACGGCTGTCAGGGCAACAAACCGAGCGACGGGCCTCTGCAGTGCGGAACGTGATACAGGTTCTACATGTCCTTGGGTAACAGACGGAGTTACTACATGAAGGGATCTCAAAACCTTAATATTCATTTGTGTTCTTCAACCAGACTTTGCACTACTATACACTCAGCTAAAGTTAGAAACTACTAGAAAATGAACCGTAATGAAAACCCTCGCAGAACTACACGCTCCCTTCCAGCTTAGCTTAGAAGAAAGCTTAAGCCAAATGTCGTAAAGCTTCTATTTGTTAAGGGAAGTTTTCTGAGAGAACATAAAAGCACTCTTTTGCAGGCTGTTCAGAGGGGAACTCGCCCCTCTAAACCCTGGTAGCCCTGACACCTTGCTGACAAGCTACAGGACTCTCTACCACGCAGTCCCTCAGTAACTGAATTTCCAGGAACAGACTACACAACATGAAGAAGGTCGCAATCATCAGTACGAAGCAGATTCTGCTAGTATCAGCTGCAAAGCTTCAAATAAAAGAGGGGAAAACTTAAATGATAAATGCCTTAATAATACTTACTTCTCTAAGCTTCTAAAGATTAAGCCACAGAAACACTTACCCAGGCCATGCTTTTGAACCAGTTCAATGAGCTGCTCCTCTTCTTCTAAACTCCACTTGCCTTTCTTTACATCACAGTGCAGTGCTTTTAAGTACCTTCAAAATGAAAACATTAAAGTAAGGAACGTTCAGTTTAGCTCATAAAGTTCCAACCATCACTGCACGCTCTGAGGCTGAACAAAACCAGCATTCCTTATCAGACCTTCCCTTTTTGTAAAGGGTCCCATTCCTACTCCCTTGACACAGCACAGTTACAACTTCTTTGTTATCAAAAATATCAGGCCACGTGATTAAGAATTACAACAAGGAGCTGTAAAACGGGTCACTGAAATCAGGACACACTGTGCTCCGAGCCTCCTGAAGCCGAGTCCGAGGCTGAAATTGCTCAGCACCTCATTATTGGCGTTCTGCTGCAGGAAGCCTCCGACTAGATCATCTTCACAGACAATACGTGGATGGCAACGTTCCCTCCCTAC